TACATAGAATTTACTATGATTTCATCAATCCACTACCTGGCTCCTTCACTTAGCAAAAATGGGAGCAAAGCTCCTGACTGTGAGACACACTTTGGTTTATGCATGTACCTAAGTAGCATTATCATTGCAGGTAGACCTTTACACAAAAGATTCTCATATTCATTAATGTGTTGAAGTCATTCCAAACAAAACATACTATTTTGCTTCATACAGACTTCGAAATATAATTTTCCATACTTGTAAAGGGCATAGTTTTTAAATTATATTTCCAGGAATTAAGCACACTCCTTTGATGAGTGTGTGTGTGTGTGTGTGTGTGTGTGTGTGTGTGTGTGTGTGTGTTAGAAACGCATGTTTAAAAACATTGGAAGAGTTGTTAGTATTTGGATGAATATCAAAAATGCTGTTTATTGGTTTGACTATTCACGAAATATAGTAATTTTCCTTAGGGCAAAAGAGAAAAGTTTAATCTAGAGCCAAGACCGTGTCATTCTAGAACAAAATAGCACATCTATGCGATTAAGCTGTAATTGATACTTCTATATTTTCATTTCAACATTTGGTTTACCTACAAACATTAGGAAATTATCATCTTTGAGTTAGCTTAATTATCCAACTTTTCTTACTTATGTATGATTTTGTAAGTGGTTTTTAAACTATAAGCAAAACTAATCAGGTTCTCGGTCCCCAAGAGTTAATCCTGCCTAAGTTAGTAATACAGACTCAACATCCTTTGTAGCAATATTTTTCCCCCAAATCAGATAAAATAATGAAAGCAATAAATGTAAAACTTTTATACATCAGATATGATGAAGCCAAGTATTTGTTAATTAGAAACATACACAGAAATTTTGTACTAATGTTCAAAATGCTGTTACAATGATTTATATGATATGTTTCATCAGATTAAAGCTGAATGAAAATTTAAAATATATTGATCAATTTTTATTAAAAATAAACATTCATATGGCAAAGTCACATATGTATGACTCTGTTACCACTTATTGGGATTTAGGCCATGTGTTTTCAAATATGAACCAATAGGCCTCTTACCCACAGATCTGAAATAATGGCTCACACAATTGCAGAGTAGCAAAGGGACATTATTCAAAGCAAAATTGTAGTGCAGATCATTAAAAAAAAAAAAAAAAAACGTTATCAAGCTATCGAAGGACCTCATAATTGGTTGGATAGGGATTCGAGGAGGACATTGGTCACAAATGGGAATTGCACAGGCAGTTCTCTGTTTTGATTGGCAGGCTTAGATTCTGTAAACGTGCATGCCCAGTGACATAGATGGTAGGCAGAGGATTCTCACTAAAAGTGCGCTCTCTCGGAGAACACAGTTTGCCTTACTGCACGTGCACCCCATTGTAGTTGATGTATTAATGTCCGCCCTTGTGCTCCAACATAATTAGAACATGGATTGACTAGAATCTGTCTGTGCCTTATGGTCATTGAGGGGAAGAAAAATGTAGTCTATTGCTTAGAGCAGGATGTCCCTGTAGCTCAGCGCAGATGAGCTATCCCAGTGCAAGTAGGGGTACTCTGTGCATTGTTCAGGGAAGTTGGGTGTAGATAATACCTGTGGGTGAGAACCTCAGGCTTCCAGATGCCTTTATTACAAAAGGGGTTTGAGCAGAGTCCAAAACAAAGAGAGCCCCTAATCGCTGAGCTATTACCTGTGTTTGCCTGACTTGTGTCATTTAAAAAATCTTTTTCTATTAAAAAATAGAAATAACTATGTGCGTAAAAAGTAGTATGGGTCACCACAAAAGTACCCAGTGTTTAGTTAAATGTAGTCATGACTTTTAAGAAAGAAGATCACATACTAGAAAGGATGTGGAGAAAGGGGAACCCTCCTCCACTGCTGGTGGTAATGTAAACCTGTACAACCACTTTGGAAATCAATCTGGTGCTTTCTCAGACAATTAGGAATAGTGCTACCTCAAGATCCAGCTGTGAGACATATATCCAAAAGACACTCAAGTATACAACAAGGATATCTGCACAACCATGTTTGTAGCAGCTTTATTCATAATAGCCAGAAGCCGGAAACAACCCAGATGTCCCTCAGTTGAGGAATGGATACAGAAATTGTGGTACATTGACACAATGAATGTTACTCAGCAATAAAAAAAAAAAAAAAAAAAAAAAAAAAAAAAAAACAAGGAAATCATGAAATTTTCAGGTAAATGGTGGGAACTGGAAAAGATCATCCTGAGTGAGGTATCCCAGAAACAGAAAGACACACAGGGTGTATACTCATAAGTGAGTACTAGACGTATAACATAGGATAAACATACTAAAATCTGTACACCTAAGGAAGCTAATGAGGAAGGAGGACCCTAGCTAAGATGCTCAGTCCCCATTCAGAAAGGCAAAGAGGATGGACATCGGAGGAAGGAGAAAACAGGGAACAGGACAGGAGCCTACCACAGAGGGCCTCTGAAAGACTCTACCCTGCAGGGTATCGAGGCAGATGCTGAGTGTCATAGCCAAACTTTGGGCAGAGTGCAGGGAATCTTATGAAAGAAGTGGGAGATAGTAAGACCTAGAGAGGACAAGAGCCCCACAAGGACAGCAACAGATCCAAAAAGTCTGAGCACAGGGTTCTTTTCTGAGACTGATACTCCAGTCGAGGACCACTTATGGTGATGGCCTGAAACCCCTGCACAGAGGTAGCCTATGGCAGTTCAGTATCCAAGTGGCCTCCATAGTAATGGGACAGGGACTGTCTCTGACTGGAACTGATTGGCTTGTTCTTTGATCACCTCCCCCTGAGGGGGGAGCAGCCTTGCCAGGCCACAGAAGAAGACAATGCAGCCACTCCTGATGAAACCTGATAGATTATGATCAGAGGGAAGGGGAGGACCTCCCTTATCAGTGGACTGGAGAGGGACATGGGTGGGGAAGAGGGAGGTTGGGATTGGGAGGGGAAGAGGGAGGGAGGTACAGGGGGGATAAAAAGTGAATAAACTATAATTAATAAAAATAAAAAAATGAGATCACATTATAAAAATGAACCCCAGGAGGCTAGCAGTGTAAGTCAGTGGAAAAGTGTATGTTTTGCATGTAGAGGCTTGGAGTTCAGTTCAGAAACAGCCACACACACACACACACACACACACACACACACACACACACACACAC